GTAAATATAACCGAAATTAAATAAAAAGTCTTAAAACACAATAACTCTAAATTATAACCCACCCAAAATTTACAACAAGCAAACTTTATTCTTCTTCAATGTAGCATGAATTGAAACATCTTTTGATAATTTTGACAACCTTTTCTTCACATCTTCATTGAAGCATATTGTATGATTGATGTCTCTTGGTTCATATCAATTCAATGTAGAAGTTCTTTCACATTCTACAAGATCTTCCTTGCTATGACTCGAATATAAGATCAAGAGTTTAATAAATTAATGATATAAAATTAATTAATTAAACTTTTAATTAATCAATTTTAATTCATTAACTATAGGTCATTCCACTCTAGACTTAGAGTTGCACTCTTATGCACGGACAAGTTATGTCCATTGATATAATCATTACAAGCAAGTCAATCCTTCACGAGTTGTTCATAATTACAACTGGATCAAAAGTTTGTTTTACCCATATAATTACAGTTTTCACCTTAAGTACCACTAATTCTCTAATAAACAATTTGTTTATGATCCAACCATAAACCAAGTCCCTTTCGGGCCGATGAGAGGGTTGGACCCCATTGTTTAAGTCCCAAAATAAGTATTTAAGAAAACAATTAATTTGCTTTCCTTATAATAAAAAGGAGCAAATTCCATCTCATGATATTATGTTATCATTTGGTAAAGTCCCCAAAATGGTAGACATATTGAATCGGCTACAAGAGCCATTTTCACCCATACAAATCAAAGGACAAACCCTCATAGGCAGGAGTTCATAATTCACTCAAGATTAAGATCACATGGTCATCATGTGAAATATTAATTTTCTCAATTAACGGATTATAAAGAGATATTAAATATTTCTTAGTCCAGTTTTATACAAACTCTCATTGCATAGGATACTCCCACTCACATGTCACCACATGAACGATTTGGATCAAATCATTTGTAACGGTTACAAAGTGGGTCGTATCAATAGTATCAGGATAAGACACCCAATCTTATCCATATACTATAGACCCTTTCGGTTATTACTTGAACACAATCCTCTTATATGTCAACCACATATTTTTCAAGATTGCATTATTAATCTTGGATTTTTCCTACGATGTTTGACAATTAAATTATAAATAAAATATTAAAAATTATTGTTAAAAACTAAATAATTGATTACGAGACTTTAGGGCATAAGTTCCAACACATACTTACACTATAATTGTTGCCCTCGACTCCAAGGTTCACTAGTCTACCTTGACTTTGTGAGCACACTTGTCCAATCTTAAAGACGCCCTAAAACATGGTCAAATAATCTTGATACCCACGTGCTAATGTTGTGCTTGTACCTTTCCTCTGAGGTCCGTAGCAACTTGTCATCTCTTGGGCGATCCTTCACTTGGATCACCCCATCATGGTATAATCCGCCCTTCACACTCCTAGAAGTCTATAACTTGAACTTAATCTCTAAAACTCGAATCCAAACCTTGTAGCCATGACCTCAAGATTGGTGGATTTTATTTCTTAACATGCTAACTTATCAAGAATTCTCTAAAGGTATTTATCTGCTTAAGGAGTGTTTAATTCCTTTGGTAGACCTTGCTTGAGTGAACTATACTTTATGAGGCTACTACATGATCTGCATGAAGCATGCTTGTCTTCTGGAGTTATAGTCACGGGAGGTTGGATCATAGATACCTCCTAATCTGGTACCGAGCCTTAAGGTATCTCATGCCCTAATCTAAGGGTTGGACGTCTCGCACTTTGTGACGACAGCTCTCTATCTTCCTAAGGTCGATCCACTAGCTCATGACCTCTATCTACCTCATCACTGTATCTAAATAGTATAACTCAAATCCAACATCATCTTATAGGATTAATGTTCACTATTAACATCTTAGATGTCATCATAACTGTAATGCAAGAGAAAAAGAAAAAGAGAAAAAAAAAAGGCGGGGCTAAGTCAACTAAGGGGCAAAAATGTCATTTTGCCCCTCCAGTCCTAATAGAGGTCCAAGGAGAACCTCGTCAAATCCCTGCAAAAGAAAGAAAGAGATAGAGAAAAATTGGAGAGAAGTCAGCCTGGAAGATTAACGGACCACCGCCGGAATCCATCCTCAGACGAGACTCGTACAAGGATCGAGAGGCTAGCGAGGCCGACGCTCCGTCAAGACCCAAGAACACTTCGCGAGGTAAGATTCTGAACAATATTTCTCATATCCGAGTTTTCCCTCTGTGAATCGATCCTAAAATGCTGTAATATTCACCTAGGAACAACTCACTCACGGTCTGTGAAGAAGTTGGCCGAAACCTCAACCCGAAGGCGGAGATCTGAGAGTCGTCTGAGAATGGTGAGTGAACTTCCGACGTTCTTAACTCGTTTGGTAGTCAAGCAAAAAATTACAAAAAAAAATACGAGGACGTAGCCCGTAACACGATCTAAAACTTTGTCGAAGGAATCATGTTGATCCGATCAACGAATCGAAAGATATGAAAATCGGAAAAGAGGACTATGTTTCAATTTTCAGAGGGCAGAGAAGAAAGAAGAAAGAAAAAAAAAAGTGTCGGCCGGCGAGCGCCGGACATGCGTCGACCATCGGCTGGAGCAACGCAGCTTCAGCGAGGCGTCGACACGTGTCACCTGCAAGCCGGGCCGATCGCGACGCGAGCCGAGCCGACCAGACCGGCCGACCCGCGACTACGCGGAGGCGGGCGCGCGTGACCACGCACTCCCAGCGCGCTACTGGCGCGTGAGCGCACGTGGGACGACCAATTTGGCCTGGTTGCTTTCTGTTTGCCCGATTTTTGTCCTGGTTCCAGTTCTAATACAGTTTTTACATGAATAGGGACCTAATTTAAAGAAATCAGTATTTTTGGACACCTCACGGGCAAAGAAACGCTAGAAAAAGGCACGCGTCAACCAGGTAAGTCACCACTCGGTATTTAGTTAGAAGTACTTGTAGGATTCGCTTGGATTGCATGCATGCTAGTAGTTTTACTTCAGATTAGCTCTCCATGTAAATTATATGTCAGAGTATTTGATATGATTGTATTGGGTGAATTACATCAGTGTCGTTGTATGCTTTATGCTTCCGCTGTATGTATGCATGCATTTAATTTATGTTGGAATTGTGTATTCCGTGTTCCGGGTGCTTGATGGACGAATTCGCCCCGTTGAGCGCAAACTTCGTGCTCTGGGTGCTTGGTGGAGGTCATTGCCCCGTTGAGCCGGTATGCCTAGTTTGCATAAATTATATAGTACGAGGTTAGAAGACGATTGCATGCACACTCTGTTAATTGCTAGAGCCCATTTCTATGATAAGCTTAGGGAACTATTGTTAGGAGCGATATGTCGCTCCAGCCAGTTTAATTTTCCCCTAGGGACTTAGCGGTTTACCACGACAAGAGGGTACCTCGGAGTGTTCATAGATTGCTAGCGTGAGAACGGTATCTATAGCTTCGTGGGAGGACCAAGGGTCCCTAATCAGTCCTTACTGCTCTTAGCCATTTCGCATGAGAAATGTGTCCCCACGTCGTACAGCCCATTAGCTGCATGGGAACGGGTTGGGTCACGCCCCCCATAGGGGGACTATATGGGCGTAGGGGTATTCAACACACCCCTAGGCTAGATACCATGTAGTCCCAGACAGCCATGTAGAGGTAGCACCTTATAGAGAGATACCGACCACATTAGGTAGGCGTAAGAAACCTCTAGGCGTTTAATGAAAGGACGATGAGCCGCTGAAACCCAAGGGGCAAGCCCCAAGGGACTAAGATTAGAACCAAACGTCCTAGAACCGAGTAGGAAACCGTGGGAATTCTATTAAATTAAGATGCGAAGAGAGCCTACAAGTAGGTGGCTTACTGAGTATAATTTTTATACTCATCCTTGCTATGTTTTCCTTTTTTTCAGGAGCGCGAGGCGTCGGTCAAGGGCGGGCGTGATGGAGGCGGGGTTTGTCACAGAGGAACGGGTTGTCCCGGGACGTCAATCTAGTCTTTATTTTGTATTTGCATCATTTCGAAATTTATTTTGTTTTGTCTGTTTGTTGTTTAAAAACTTTATTTGAATTTAAGGATTTTCCCTACTTCATATTTAAAACACTTCATGCATTTGTGTCTTGTCGCTAGTCACGATCTATAGTAAAATATTGGGTCGTGACAATAACTGAATATCTTTCTAAGTAACCCAAATCATAATCAAGATCATATAGAACTTATAAAATAATATACACTACTTAAGAGGGATAGACTACATACCTAGTTGTGGGGGGTGTGTGGTCGAGCTGAGTCATAGAGATGTACAACTCTTTACCTAAAATAAAAGTCTATAGGTCCTAAAACCCAAGTGCTCTAATATCAATCTGTCACAACTCGATTTTGGATGTTTCGAATCTCAGATCATAACGCAAAAGACAAAGACAAAGACAAAAGTAGAATAAAATAAAATAAAAGATAAAAATATGATAAAATTTAAATCAAATTAAAGCAAACAATACCAAAAAACCAAATCCAACTACAAGATGGTATTGTTCAAATTTATTACAAACGGGAAAAATGGGTTCGGGATACAATTATAAAACGAAATACAAGGACGAACAAATGCTCCAGAATGACTCCCTCTGTAATCGCGCAACTCTCAAACACTTCCTCACCTTGACCGACAACATGTGACTCCCTCTCTTATCCGCACTTTGGTTCTCTCTTAGTCTCTCTTTAGATCATTTGTACATAGTATACATCTTCTCAGGCAACTTCAACAAGGGAAAAAACACAATGCAACGTCGTAGGTAATCAAACAACTCAGGTGAATAAAAACTACTTGAATATTGAGTCAAACTATGTCCTGATTTCGAACGTAGAGTTGATAATGTTTGGTTCATAATTCGAGTGCTGAGTTGATAATGCTTTGGATCGTGGTTCGAATCGATGGATCAATATTTCAAAGTTGACATGTATACCTTTTTATTTGTTGGGAGTTCAGCTTAAATAGCTTAATGGGTGGTAGGTACAACTTAACTTCTCACTAATATGATCATGTTCTTCATTGTCAATAACGACGTGACTTCTTAGTTATTACCGCAAGTTGTTTATTTGTATAATTGATATCGAACTCTATTAAATTTACTTATGAGATATCATTCTCGAACGATATTCCAATCGGGTGAGAAAATAAAGAAATTGTTCAAAAACATTGTGCTAGCTACTGAGAGTGGGAGCGGGAGTGTGAATTAGAGCTAAAAAGTGAGAACACAAGTGTCGGGAGTGAAAGCAAGGGCAAGAATTAGAGTATGAAAACAGATGAATAATGTAATTTTACATGTATATGAATCCGGAGCGAAGGATTATCGAAAGTTGATTTTTAAAGTGGGATCGAATTTTATTTTGGTCTAAATTTTTGGTCCATCCATAATTTTTTTTTTGGTTCAAATCGACACAAATCTTAAAGTAATCGGGATGGAATGTACAAAAAAGCATTGCGTATGTGGCAAAAAAATAAAGCCTAAAATCTGTCACTTGGAATGGAACTTGTGAGAAGGATAAATGGAGAGGCACATCAAAACTCACGTAGGTGTCGTTTAGTTCTTCGAATTTAAGAATTTCAGAGTGCCTTTTACGAAGAGAGTTCGGCACGAACCACCGTCCGTGGATTCTCATTCTACCCAACTACCATGTTCCCGAGATTCAATTCCCATTTATTATTCTCCTTCTCCATCTCCATCTCCATCTCCCTTTGTTTATCTCCATGAAAAGGTACTCTGAATTCCGAATCTACAATTTAATTTCTCTAATTCGAATCAGTTACGTTTTTGATTTATGCGTCTCCCATCATCCAGGTTGCGAAACGAGATTTAAGGGTGAAATTTTGCGCTATTTGAATCCGAAGCTTACAAGTCCGAATTGATTTATTGATTTTGTCGCTATGTCTCTCCGTAGACGGACTTTGCTCAAGGTCATCGTTCTTGGTGACAGTGGGTATGTGCAATCATCTTCTAGGGTTCCTCTGTTGCTTACTTTTGTACGCGCTTTCGTTAATTTTGAATTTCGGTTTCTCAATGTTGTTTGGTTTTTGTTTCAGGGTTGGCAAGACGTCGTTGATGAACCAGTATCCTTCTGAAAATTGGTTGTTGATTATGATATTGATCCGCGTTTTGAGCGTTTATATGCGATCTTGGAATTCACGGTTCATTTCTCTTAGTTTGCCCCTTCATGTTATCTGAAATACGTATGCCTCTTGCTTCAGTTCATGTTGGAATAATGTGATTAATCTCTTGTTTTGTTGGATTATCGACTTGATGGGAGGGTTGGATAATTTGGATGACATTCTCTTTTCTTTTCTTTTCTAAAATTTGGATTTCATGTCGTTTGACCATTTTTTCATGTTTCCTCGTGTATTTCTAGTATGTTGTGTTTATAGAGATTTTGGCCCATTAGAATCGATGATGAGTAATCATTCCTGTTGAACTGGAATATGGGTCATTAACTAGCTGATCAGATACGTGCACAAGAAGTTCAGTCAGCAATATAAAGCTACAATTGGTGCAGATTTTGTCACCAAGGAACTTCAAATTGACGACAGGCTTGTCACACTTCAAGTGCGTGTTCTACTTAAAATCGTTGGCATGTCGATGCTGTGTAGACTGTCGATTTTGGAACTATTATGTACTCATGTTTATGCTAAATCATTGATATTTGCATTGCTAGATATGGGATACAGCCGGACAAGAAAGATTTCAAAGTCTTGGAGTTGCTTTCTATAGAGGGGCTGATTGCTGTGTTCTAGTCTATGATGTTAACGTGATGAAGTCATTTGACACACTCGACAATTGGCACGATGAGTTTCTTAGACAGGTGGATCAATTCAGTTCTTAAGTTTTACTCTGTTACTAGGATCTTGTACAGCTGGTGTGAGGAAGAATTCTTTGATTGTTTTGCATTATTATTATTTTCTATATATGAAATCATTTTCCTACTGATGATCGAATACCACCGAAGTTTGTCCAGTCTTGTCCAATAGGATTATACCTCTAGGTTTTTTTTCATGTCATTCTTTGGGAAATAGTTGTACAGTAATGATTCCAGACAAGGGGAAGCAGCTTTTTCGTTCGTAGGACGGGTTGCATGTATAGGAACGACTGGTTCAATTAGATTGATCTATTAGTTTAATTTTCTTTTATAATTCTTCATTTTGTTAGATTTATTTATTTTGTTGTTCTGTGATTGTTGTTTAGGTACTTATTTAATAAGCTAGCATATGGTTCCTCTAAAGCTTTGTCTAAAACACCTCTAAAGATCTTTTTGTATTCAAAAAGTACCTTAAGTTGAGGAGCAACTGCCTACGAGGTCATTTGTGCCTGCCTTGTAGATATTGTTTTGGCTTTTTATTCAGTAGCTTTCTCTATTGCTGGCGTGTGCCCGTTTCTTGAACTTCGCAAGGTTATACCCTGCCTCTTTTTATTATTATTTTTTTTCTTTCTCATCGAAGAACTGTTGTTTTATTTGCATTACTCCGCAATTCTTGATTTGTGTTGCTAAGGTAAGATGTTTTTGAAAATTGTGATCGAAATACCGTTGTAGTGGACAATGATATGTCAGAAAAAAGATTTTGCTCACAAAGAGTATTGCAGGCACATGTGCGTTAGACAAATAAAAGAAAGACACTTATGCACCCGTGCTCTCTTGGTTCTCTGCATGTGTTTAGTATGTGTGCTAGTCTGAGTATGTTTTTTTTTATGAGTCTAAATTAGTATTGATCCTATGTCTTTCAGGCAAATCCACCTGACCCTAGGACGTTCCCATTTATATTGCTTGGAAATAAGATTGACATTGATGGTGGGAATAGTCGAGTGGTAAGGAATAAGGATGTCTGGACCTGGCCAAGTTGAACTTTGCCTTTTCTTTTCATGTTGACCTGATTATTATTTCTGTAGGTTTCTGAGAAGAAAGCTAGGGAATGGTGTGCATCAAAAGAAAATATTCCGTACTTTGAAACATCAGCTAGAGAAGACTACAACGTCGATGCTGCATTTTTGTGCATTGCCAAGACTGCATTAGCCAATGAACATGAGCAGGATATGTAAGTTTCTGAATGTGAATTTTTTCACTAGTGTGTTCTCAGAATAACTTTTTTTTTTATTGAGGTAATTTTTTTATTATGATTTGGGTTACCCAGAAAGATATTCAGTTGTGATGACGTCCTAAGATGTTAAATAGTGAACGTTAACCCTATAAGATGATGTTGGATCTGAGTTATAGTGTCTATATATGGTGGTGAGGTGGGGAGGGGTCATGAGATAGTCTATTGACCTTGGAAAGACAGAGAGGTGATGTTACAGAGTGCGAGATGTCCAACCTTAGATTTGGGTATGACAAGCCTGCTTGATGCAGATCATGTATTAGTCTCAGATAGTTTAGTTCATTCAGGAAATGGTCACTAGAGGAATTAAGCACTCTACGAACGTACCATTACCCTTAAAGAGTTTTGGGTAAGTTGGCATGTCAAGATTAAATTTTACCAACCTTGAAAGGGCTATGGACGTCATGGCTGCCAGGTTTGGGTTGGAGTCTTTAGATACTAAATTCAATTTATGGACTTCTAGGAGCGTGAATGGCGCATTATACCATGATGGGGTGATCCAAGTGAAGGATCGCCCAAGAGATGACAAGTTGCTAACGACTTCAAAGCAAAGGCCCAAGCACAACAGTGTTGAGGATTGTTGGGAGGGAGTCCCACATTGGCTGATTTAGGGAATGATCGTGGGTTTTTAAGTAAGGAATACATCTCTATTGGTATGAGGCCTTTTAGAGAAGCCCAAAGAAAAGCCACGAGAGCTTATGCTCAAGGTGGACAATATCATACCATTGTGGAGATTTGTGATTGCTAATATGGCATGAGAGTCATGCCCTTAACTTAGTCATGTCAATAGAATCCTCAAATGTTGAACAAAAAAGTTGTGAGCCTCGAAGGTGTAGTCAAAAGTGAAGACTCCAGAGAAGGAGTCGAGCCTCGATTAAGGGAGGCTGTTCGAGGGTTCCGTAGGCCTTAGAAGAGGCTCTATAGTGTACTTTGTTTGAGGGAAGGATTGTTGGGAGGGAGTCCCACATTGGTTGATTTAGGGAATGATCATGGGTGTATATACATCTCCATTGGTATATGAGACATTTTGGGGAAGCCCAAAGCAAAGCCATGAGAGCTTATGCTCAAAGTGGACAATATCATATCATTATGGAGAGTCGTGATTCCTAACCAACAGTAGCACGTGGTTATCAGAATTATATGACCACGTTTTAAACCGTCTTTAGGACTGGGCAAGTGTGCTCTCAAAGTCAAGGTAGACTAGTAAACCTTGGAGTCGAGGGCAACAATGATAGGGTAAAGTTATGGCCAACTCTACCCCCGTCTTTCAGGCAAAATGTCGTTATTGAGATAAATACACCTCCACAAATTCTTTTCAAAAGAGCTTTCCAAATAACCTCTTGATGTTATATGCATACATACAAACATATATCTACTCACAATTGCATTCCCACACATGGTTGGTATTTAGGTAAAAATTAGATGGAAAGCACTTGGTTTTTAATGCCCCTGATAGATGGTGAATAATCTCCCAAATAGTTTCAAGCTTGTCTTGGTGAAGTAGAGGTGATTAAATATGAAACTCTCAAGTTGAGTTGTTTCGTATGGGGAGATAATGTAGTCTATATGCTAGCTTAGTTGGTTGTTATCCTTAGGATATCTTCCTCTTCTGAGATGCGATCTAAGTTTTTTCTTTCGGTATGTCGATATATTTAAATTTCCAGTTTTATTTTTGGGATGTAACAATTGAACGAGGACATTGTAGCATGTCAAAATCCTAGCTTGACCCTGGCTTTAACATAACATATGCCAGCAATTGCTATGTTTCTTCAAGTCTATACGGATCATGAAATTGCTAATCCTTTCCAAACTAGAACTGCACCGAGTATATATACATTTTTTTTTTTCTTCACCCATCACTTTATCCCCTACATGTTTTTTGATAACTCGATGTTATAGTTTGATGGTTGTCAAATGAATTTAGTCGAAGTGTGCATAAAGTCGTACTCATTTAGTAAAGAAATATTGTTCTTCAATATGGTGATTGGCTTTATGTGTAAGAATTAAAGCTAATACAACAGAATTTGCCGTACACTTTTTTTTTTTCGATTCCATAATTGATTTCCATTTATCAGTTGATTGTGTATTTTTACTGCAGAATTTCATTTCTTGTGTTGTTATAGTTGCTATGCAATCTATGTGCGTGTTTTATTATTGGTGTTTTTGTTCTTCATTTGTTACGAGACCGAAAAATACAAACTCCTTACCGTTCTTGAACGCAATTGTAGATATTTCCAAGGAATCCCGGAAACGGTCGTGGAGACTGAGCAAAGAGGTGGTTGCGCGTGCTGAATCCAGAAACTGAGGGGACTCGGAACTATCACACTCCCATCCTTTTGGTTCCAATTCTTTTTATACATTTTTGCTTTGGTTTTGTGATTCATGACTAATCCTTGATTGCACACCCTCTGTTCCATGATCTAACAACCACTGAGACTTGAGATTATCCTTTTCTGTTCTTTTCTTTTATTTTCTTTTCTTTTTTTTTTTTTTTTTTTTTTTTTTTTTTTTTTTTTTTTTTTTTTTTTTTTTTGAAGAAATTAGCTTCCTTTTTGGTGAGGTACGAAAGAACTTTGTGGGATCTCGTGTGAAGGATCCATTATTTCGAGGATTCTCAGCACCGCTGTGTTTTTCAGTTAATCGTTTTTGAGATGAACGAACACTACGGTGATTCCTGTTCTATTTGAACTTTTTTTAAGGAACTGAGAGTGGATTCATTGGTTTTTTTTAGTCTGATTTATTGTATGTGCCATTAGCTCTTATGAGCAAACCATTAATCCTGTTCATGTCTTAAAAATAAAAATTAAAATTAAAAAAAAAATCTTGAAAGTGTTAATTCTAGTGGGGTTTAAAAAATTTGATTACCTAAACTTCACTCACTCAATAGAGTCGAAATAACAAAAAAATAAAAATAAATAAATAATAATAATAATAATAAATAAATAAAAAGAAGTCTCTTCTTTTCATCTCACTCAATGGTTGGAAGACTTCAATTCCTACCGAAACAGAGTCGTAATAACCAAAAAAAAAAAAAAAAAAAAAAAAAAAAAAAAAAAAAAAAAAAAAAAAAGATTTTCATCTCACTTAATGGTTGGAAACTAGTCTATTAGACGAACACGACTCTCCACAATAGTATGATATTGTCCACTAGTATGATATTGTCCACTTTGAGCATAAGCTCTCATGGTTTTGCTTTGAGTTTCCCCAAAATGCCTCATACCTAACAGTATTCTTTGTTTCATGGTTTTGCTTTGAGTTTCCCCAAAAGGCCTCATACCTGACAGTATTCTTTGTTTATAAACCCATGACCATTCTCTAAATTAGCCGATTTGAGACTTTCATTATCCAACACCTCCAACAAAGCACGCCTCCTCTTAATCGAGGCTCAACTCCTTTGGAGTCTTAGTCATTTTTTACTGCCTTCGAGGAAGCTTGACTCCTTTTTCTTTTTGGAGTCCTTTGTTCGACATTTGAGGATTTACCAATCTATTGGCATGACTAAGTTTAGGGCATGGGTCTAAGAGCCTACGCCTCTAGACATCTGAAAGAGTATGAGCGCAACTACCCCACCCACGATCTGGGACTAGCAGCCGTGGTATGTGCATTGAAAACCTGGCGTCACTACCTGTATGGGGAGAGAGTTCAGGTGTACACGGACCATAAGAGCCTCAAGTATTTGTTTACACAGAAAGAGCTCAACACGAGACAGCGAAGGTGGTTAGAACTAGTTAAGGACTATGACATTGAAATACTTTACCACCTAGGAAAAGCTAATGTAGTGGCAGATGCCTTGAAGAAAGACAGCCCACACATCTGCCCTGATCAGGAGGTAGAAGTATCTACAGGATGAGATATAGATGGCTGGAATAGAAATCTTGGTTAGAGGCATCACCGCTCAACCAGCGCAATTTTCAGTCCAACCCACCCTCAAGTATGTGAGTCGGTGTTTGACCTGTTAGCAGGTAAAGCCCCGAGACAGCGACCAGCAGGGTTGTTGCAACCGTTGAATATCCCATAGTGGAAATGGGAGGAAATAAGCATGGATTTCATCACGGGCCTACCAAAGACTCGACGAGGCTTTAATGTCATCTGGGTCATTGTGGACAGATTGACTAAGGCAGCCCACCTTATGCCCGCCAGAGCTACTTACCGAGTGGACCACTGAGACCAGTTGTATGTCAAGGAGATAGTCCGCCTGCATGGCATGCCAGTGACCATTGTGTCTGATAAGGATGCTAAGTTTACTTAACTTCTGGAAAGGGTTACAGAAGGCGTTGGGAACGCAACTCAAGTTCAGTACAGCTTTTCATCCTCAGACCGATGGGCAAACCGATAGGCATAATCAGACTCTAGAGGGTATGTTGAGGGCATGTGTGATAGACTTTGCAGGTTGCTGGGATGAGCACCTAACCCTTATGGAGTTTGCTTATAACAATACTTACCAAGCAACCATACAAATGACACCATTCGAAGCTCTATATGGGCGGAGGTGCAGAACCCCTATATTCTGGGAGGAGGTAGGCAAGAAATAGCTGTTGGGGCCGGAGTTGGTACCAACGCAGCGGTACAGAAAATCAAACAGAGGATACTCTTTGCACAAAGTCGGCAGAAGAGTTATGCAGATTCTCGTAGGAAAGACCTCGAGTTTGCAGTGGGTGATCACGTCTTCCTAAAAGTAGCCACCATGAGAGGAGTGCTGAGATTTGGGAAGAAGGGCAAGCTGAGCCCGAGATTCGTGGGACCCTTTGAAGCCCTAGAAAGGATAGGGCCCGTGGCCTATAGACTAGCGTTGCCACCCACACTTGCTGCGGTGCACAACGTATTCCATGTATCGATGTTGAGAAAGTACACCCTAGATCCCACTCACATCATTGATCACGAGACGCTTCCCATCCAGAAGGACCTATCATATGAGGAGAAACCCATAGGGATAATGGCACGTGATGTGAGGAGACTACGAAGAAGGGAGATACCCTTAGTCAAGGTTATATGGGAAAACCATCGAGACAACGAGGCCACCTGGGAATGTGAGGATGACATGAGGAGATCTTACCCCGAACTCTTTCGGGGAGGATCAACTTTCGAGGACGACAGTTCCTAAGGTGGGGAGGATTGTAGCGCTTGAGTTTTTTTTAAAAAAAAAAACTAGGTCACAATAGGGGCAAACTAGTCATTTTGCTTATTACTTGAGGGGTCTAATTTGGTTGAGTCATAATTCGGAAAAGAGAAAGAAGAGGGGAGAGAAAGAGGAGAAAAAAGAGGGAAAGAAGATTAGGGTTTTTGAGGAAGGAGGAGGAGATCGGATCAGAACCCGGAGATCCGAATCCTCAATCTAAACTGTTAATAGTCCAAGGCAAGGTGCTCTCACGAATCGCACCTTCCTATTTCGTCAAAACGTCCAAGAACTTCAGGTTAATCCACGATGTCTAGATCGAGAAGTCATTAAGATTTTCGTGTGTTAGCGACGTTTTGTATTGATCCTTGGACTCTTACCCTCAACAGCGTTATTTGGTTAAGTTCTGGAGTGAAGGCGGCCAAGATTGGTGTTCGAATCGGACTTTCAAGAAAACGTGATTTTCGGTAAGAATTGGTGTTTTTCTCCGAATTTGAACTCAAATATTAAGATCTGTGATTATCAAAAAAATATAAGAAAATTGTTTCGAAGGAGTAGAATATGAGATCTACAATGTTCGTGAAGAAAATTTGTTGAATCGGATTATGGATTGGAAGGTAAAAAAATTGGAAGAAAATAGATCGAAACGTGAAAGAGGCCTGGAAAATGGAAAAAACACAAGAGAGAGGGTGGAGAGCCGCTACGCGTCGGCCGGCGTGTGGAGGAGCGCAGCGGAACCGGTGATCGACACGTGTCGATCACCCGGCTGGTGAGGCATGTCCTCACCCGGCAGCGGACACGCGTCAGGCACGTGGATCCGGCCGGCCCGACCTGTGCCGCACGCAAATCGCCCGACCCGGCACCCCTGACCCGCGCCTACTCGGGAAGCCGCGCGTGGGCACTCACACGTAGAAACCTCTAGGGCGAATGTGACGTGCGTGGGGGCGTGTGAGCCACTATTTTTCTTTTCGTTCGGTCTCTATTTACTTGTTTTCCGACCCGATTTTGGTGCTGACCCTATTATTATGTAAATTAGGACTTGTCAAGGAAATTCCAGAATTGTTGGTATCCATTCCGTCAAGAAAACTCGAACTCGGGAAGGCACGCTCAACCAAGTAAGTAGCCATTTGGATTCCCACGAGCAGTACTTGTAGGAACTGCTAGGAACGAGAATGCATGTTACCAACCATTAACTTAGCTAGCCGGACCTAGTATATTTGTATGGAAACTGCGAAAATGGAATGATTAAGGAAAGCTAGATATGAAATGTATATTAAATTTGTTTGATTGAGATTCTGATAAAGTATGTATGCATGAGGAGCATGGAAAACTTGTGAAATCTGCGCTCCGGGTAAAGATGGACGTTATCTTCCCGTTAGCATGTTTGTTAATATTGCATGAACTACTGCATGTTAACTCTTATGCATGATGATTGCTTGTGTTATCTTTCTTGATGAATAGGAAGTAATTATGAGCTTAGATTAGGGTGCTTGTGACTAAGTACGCTAGATGAGACCCTAGATTGGGGGACTTCTAAAATACCGTGCAATTAGTCCCACGAAATGATTACCGACGGATACAGAGCCTAGAATTCCAAACCCGTTAGGTTTGTGAGACTAGGCACGAGAATCCTAGAGATACATGAAATTCAAGTCTAAGCCACCAAAGTTCCACCCTAGAAAGGATAATAGGTCACCACGGTAACTGTAGGTAGCCCGCTAGAGTTGAGCAGTGTAGATAGTGTCATCAGAACTTCCACTTCCCTCTCTCCTCCGATACTGTACAGTTGAGACAGAGCTCCGGTACGGTGATCGTTGAGTTTAGCAGATCTGGATAAGGAAGTGTGATAGGTGTCCAAACCTAGTGGTGATAGCTAAGGGGTCTTCTGAACAGGATTCTTGGGCCATAGAAACCCGTCCCTGAACAGGGGACGTGGAGCCACATAGGATGACTCAGTAGCTGACCGACACACAGGGGGTCACACCCCATTTAGTGGATGTATGGTCTCGTGTGAGGGTCGTCAGCTAACCTCCATGGATGATGTTCAGAGAGAGTCACGTTTTTCAGATCTAGCCATATAATCCCCTCAGATTTACTTAAGAGGTCGCGCCTCACCTCAGGACACTGATCATTTCACTGTTTAAGATGGGCAAGCCTAAGATACAGAAAAGAGAGTTACAGCTTAGATCACACTTCTTAGAAACCCGAGAAAGACCGTGGTTACCTACCAAGATAAGGATGCGAAAAGAGCCTACAAGTAGGCTGCTTACTGAGTATTTTTATACTCATTCCTTTCTACTCTTTTTTTCAGGTGAGTGATGCCATGAATCGAGGCGGGAATGCTGTTGGATCGGTATGGCAACCCTAGAGGGGGGGTGAATAGGGTTTTAACGATAAAAGTGTTTAAATGTGATTAATTTTTCTAAAGATGAAACTTTTTACAAATAAGTAGAAGATGATAATTTTGTAATTCAAGTCAAACAATAATCAAGTAGAAAATGCAATAAATCACAATAATAATTTTGAAATTAAATAGGAAAGAGTTAGAAAAAATGACACCGTAGTTTTATAGTGGTTCGGTCAAACTCGACCTACTCCACTCCCCAAGCGCCTCTTAGGAATTTGAATAAAGAACTTTCTCGACTCTTTCCACGGATCTGAGTCAAACCGCTACACCGCTCTTTTTACGAGTTCAAGAACAAACTCAATCCTTTCCACGGCGCAGGATCAAACCGATACAAGTATTTGAGTTTGATAACACACCACAACTCTCTCAAAGAGTAGATTTACAATTTGGGATACTCACAACTATTTCCTCACAATACAATAATAATCCCTCTCAAGAATAAGATGAAGAGAAATAAACTTGTAAGCTTGGAGAGAGCAACAAACAATGGAGACTTTGAACAAATGAGGATTGGAGAATGTATGTAAGTTGTGTATTTTAAAATGTGGGGAAGAAGAGTTTATATAGAGGAGAAAAGTGGCAAAATGTAGGATTGAATATTAGCCATTGGATTGTGTTAAGAATAATGGAAGGTGGAGATTAAAAGTAAATAAATAAGAAAATTTTCTAAATTCATTTATTTCAAAATTTTAATATAATAATAATATAATATAATAATAATAAAAAGTTATGTGANTAACGGTCAAATGAAATTCAAAATTTATTATAAATATAATAATATAATAATAATAAAAACTATGTGAGTAACTACCAAAATTTTAAAATATAATAATATAATAATATAATATAGTAATAATAAAAATTGATGTGAGTGACGGTTAGATTCAAATTTATATTTTGTAAAAATAACTTTATTTAAAAATATAATAATAAGAAGAAAAAACTCCACCATTTGTTACTCTCCCAAAATTATAGATGTCATACTTTGATATATTTTGATTTGTCCATCATTTTGATTTTGTTGACACATCATCACGTTGGGTATGTTGTCTCGATTGTAATTTATTCGTTTTAGCTCTGATTTGAGTAATTGAAAAGTCGTTGAAATCGTTATTCCCGACCTTATACTGTGGACAGTTCAAAATACTGAAAATAGTTAATAATTAAAAGTAGGTTTGTTATCATCAAAACGTCAATTAATTGATTGAAATTAATTAAAGCGAGATCAAGGGCCAAAAAGCCAACAAATGCATGCTGAATCTTTAACACAGAGGAGTGTCCCAGGCCGTCTAGGAGGAGTCTGTGCATAATTTTGTTTAGATCTGTCATGCATTGTTTTGTAAACCGTTTACATACTTTTCATGCTTGAACACCTTGATTCGGATTTCAAACCTTTTACATAATTGCTAAAGTTTTTTTTTGTAATCTCGTCTTCTCTATTTGCTTTTACATGATTTCATTGCATAGTCTGTTGGTCCAGTCCTTGATTTTGAGATTTAAATTTTGGGCTGTGACAAACACATGTCATGTTGGGCTGTCAGATTTAATGGACCGAACGGATATGGGTCGCCTGCATGAGTGACACATATCGTGTTGGACCGTCGGATTTAATTGTTTGCGGGTATTCAGTTTGGGTCCGACAGATCCTTTCTTCTTCGACCGATTTCATATGCGATTTTCAACGATTTTCTCTCTTCTTCCCGCGACGTTTCTGACATCGTTTCTCTTCCTTTTTCTCTCGCTATCCCTCTATCGACTTCTCCTCCTCTCTCACATGAAGTTTCATAGTTGTTGGAAGTCCATGGAGGGACGACGACTACTCGGTGTGTGTTCGTTTGTGATGGACGAATTTAGGCTTGTGGTCATTTTTGCAGTGTTGCTTGGTCGGTTTAGGCATTGAGGCTAACGGTTTTGGGGTGCTGAAGTTTGATTTTTTGCTCGAAGAAAAAATTTAGTGTTCCCTCTCTTTCTCTCTCAATTTTCTCCTTCGTTCATCATTTTCTTCTTTGCAGGTGATTCTGAGAGGCTTGAGGAGCGTGGCGGGAGGGTTCCGGCGAATTGTGGGGGTCGGAAAACGTTATTCTGTGACCCCCGTAAAATTTTCGGCGACTGAGTTTTTTTTAAAAAAAAAACATTATGATATGATATATTAATGTAATTTGAATGATAGATGTGATTGACATGCAAAACGACGAACTAGCATGAAATACAACCCCGACGTATGCAGAAAGATATGATAAACGGTATGTGCAATGATATGAAAAACGATATGATTTGTACGGAACATTAGCGGGGTTGTATTAAATGATAATGAAAATGGAAAACTATTGGGACCTCATGCATTGGGGGATACCCTTTACCCTTCACGACAATACGGACGCGTACGTTACGTGGCAAGAAAACAATCATTATGGTTATCATAAGCTATGATGACCAAGCAGAAAAACGTTCATTATGTTTATCATAATGTTGCGACGGTCAGGAAGGAAAATGAACATTATGTTCAACCTAATGTTGCCGTGACAGTTACTAATTCTTACGAGTGCCTGGCCTAAATAGCTCCAAAGTATGCTCACACAAGGAAAGTGGCCCAGTGGTGTGCGAACTGATTGGTTAGTCCATACTCGCACATATGAACTGTATGTAGAGTATATGGTACATATCTAAGTTATCGATTAGGATAGTACCGTAGGAAAATAGACTAAAAGGATAGGTCCTGTCATTACATTTGCATGTTCTTGCATTTAAACCCCCATAGTGGGGTCAATTACTGAATATTTATTTAAATACTCAAGTCACGTGGAACTTCTGTTTCAGGTGAAGGAAAGGCATTATGGTACGGCTGACAACGGCGTCGCAACTCGAGACCATGATACATGCATAGGATAGTCGTATTTATTTTCTTAGACTTTGGCTAGCAAGAACATGATGTTTTTAATTTAAACGTTTATTTAGTCTTTTGTTGTGTCGTCTTTTAAAGGTGATTTCAAAACACGTAAGTCCATGGCTGCATACAATGTTCATGATATGTATACAGTGGCAACCTTAAATTAACTAGAAAAATTTTGGTGTTTGAATAGACAACATCTATTTATCATGCATTTTCTAAGCATTCTGTATGTAACGTTTCAAATTTTCCATTTTTGCCTTATTTGGTTGGTTGTTATTTTTATTTCTATATATGACAAGATATAATGTTATGCATTTATTATCGTCGGAAAAAGTGCAATTTTCAAAAGGAAGTTATTACCTAAAAATAAAATAAATAATTAAATGTAATCTACCCGAAAGGATTCGTGCTGAACTTTTATTACCTAATAGAAACATTTCTATTTCTCTGAGTTTCCTTATCCTAAAACCCTAGAATGATTGTCTTCAGATTATCGTTATATTCCTATGCCCAACCTTTTACCTCCCTTGAAAACGATTTTCTCTCCAAACTTTCCTCCGAAACCTTGGGGTTGCTCTTCGGAGGAAGAATCGGGTAAAGAAGACAAGGTTTTTAGAATAGGGCCGAGCCGCAGGTGCACACCTAGCAGCTCCGGCAGCTTCGCATGCGTACACAGTGCGGGTCGGCTTGCACGTGTATGAAATCGGCTCGGTTCCGTCAATTCCCGCAGCTCAACTTGGCGGCTTAGTTGGCCGGTTCGACAACGAGGCTTAGCGGCAAGGTATCACTATAATATATCGAT